CCACTCCATAACCGCCTGTCAAACCCAATGTTCCCACTGAATCCACAAGCCCCGAGCTGCTACTGCGACTGCTGCTGCTGCTGCTGCTGCCGGCATCCAAAACAGACTTATTACGCCGCGTCTTCTTTTCAAATGCAGTGTTTAGTTTCATTAATGCAAGTGGAAGCGACGCCATTAGGTGAGGTCATCTTCTTAAAAGCTCCTATATGACACGAGTTTCTGAGCTGTGAAGAAATGTTTCCTCAACACAAACAGACCTGGAGTTGTTTTTTGTTTCATTCATACGTCTTTAACGGAAAACGCTCTGTTCCACCTTGTGATGTCATATGGTGATACAGGAAGTGCGTCACAAGCCACGTTTACATGATGTTTTTTCATCAAATATCAGTATTGCATATTGATATCAGCCAATCTGTATGGATAATGGCTGAAACTAATGTGCACACTGATTGTGTTGTGGTAGTGCTCTGAAGGGGGAGTGACTTAGTGTGGAGTGCAGAGAGAGGGAGGAGTTATAAAACATGTTGATACATTGGCCACGTTTACATGATGTTTTTTTAATTCTGAATTACTTGTTCTGAATTAAATAGTTCAGAATTTAAATATTCTCCTTCAAGTTTACATTGAAATAATAATTCAGAATTGAGATTAAATCGTCTTTATTTAATTCCGCTCAACGTCTGGTGGTGGGGAAGGTTCTGATTGGACAGAGACACCAATGTATTTACGTCGACCGGAAGAAAACACACACTTCAGCTGCTCCCGGCTTTTCTGTCATCTCGGTTTGTCGTTACACCACGGACACAAACATGATAAAACTTTTAGCGTAGTTGTTCCGATGATATTTAATCAGCAGCTTGAGAATTCTGTCATCACACTTTACGTCTGTGAAGCTGAGGAGGAGAAGGGAAGAGTGTCGGAGAAGGAGGAAGAAGACAAAGTGAGTGTGAGGCTGCTCTACCTCAGCCCACTCCCACATCCCGCTCACAAATCCAAAGAGACGTGGATGAAAGTCCGAAGCCAGGACTGGTGGAGCCGGATCGTCTGGATTGTGTCAGAAGGGCGACACAACGAGCATGAACTGAACCACCCACATTATTTCTAAGAAGAATAAATGTTTACGTGATCAAGAAATACATGAATTCGGCTGTAAAATCAGTACAAACCAGCCACTTACTTTGGAATGAAGTTTAATTCCGAATAATCATTTTCATTAGGAATTAAGTGTTTCCATGGTCTTTTTAAAGCGTAATTAATTTGTATTCAGGAATTATTCGGAATTAAATCTCTCATATAAATGTGGCAACTGTGTTTTTTAACTTCGTACATCTTCACTAGAATCATTTTAATGATTTCAGCCCTGGAATTGCAAATCTCGACTGAACTAAAGGTAAAAAAGGAGCTGTTAACTTGAAAACTACCACTTCATGACATCATAAGGTGGAACAGAACATTTTGAGCTTTGGAGATATAGCCAGACTAGTAATGGTTACTCAAACATGTCTGAATGAAACAAAACATTGTTGGTGAGTCATTATAACATGGCTAAAAACTCACAAAAGTTCAATTTTATGTAATATAGGACGTCTAAAGTGCATATGACACACTTTTGTTTTTCTAATTCTGACTTGGTTCGGTCAGTTTCATGTGTCAATCAACGTGTGTATTTATCTCCATAGGGACAATTTGTTGATATGTTATGTTGGTCAAAGCCACGCTGTTAGTTTATTTGTTATAAATGCCTCACTTCACACTGTTGTTAGTGTCGATGTCTTATTCCAGTTTTCAAATTAAGCCCGAACAATTCTGGGTAAAATATCTGAAGCATTGCGATTTTGATTAGTTTTTCTATTTTTAATTTTTTAATAATGGAGTTCTGTTCCAAGTTCCAAGAAGAATTGCAAGAATATTAAAATATGAATTGAAATAATGAATACAGTAATCACTTCAGAACATTTGTACATATTTAAACTAGAGGGTTGGGAGTTTTTATATAACATAGAATAACATTTACGTTAGTTTGTGGAGGAAATGGAAGGTTCTTCAAAAACTGAGTTGTGAACAGTGTTGGGAAGGTGACTTTTAAAATGTATTCCCCTACAGATTACAGATTACACACCCCAAGTTCTGGTTTAGTCCTGGTTTAGACCTGGTTTTAGACTGGGTTTGGACCTGGTTTAGACCTGGTTTAGACCTGGGTTTAGAGCGGGTTTGGACCTGGTTTAGACCTGGTTTTAGTCCTGGTTTAGTCCTAGTTTAGACTAGGTTTAGACCTGGTTTTAGACCTGGTTTAGACCTGGTTTAGACCTGGTTTTAGACCTGGTTTAGTGTCCGGCAATGAGTGGAATTACCGAAAAAAAAAAAAAAAAAAAAAAAAAAAGGGAATAGCTCAAAATGTGAAAACAAGAAAATACCTCTGTGTAATCCATTTATTTCAACAAGTAACTGTAATCTAATTACCACTCACTCAAACAGTAAATGTAACTGAATACAGTTACTCATAATTTGTACTCTGATTACATAACTCTGGTACATGTAATCTCCCCAACACTGGTTGTGAATCGTGTCAAATTGCTATTTCGATTTGATTTCAGTTCATCTTGCAGCTCTAATTTCAATGGAAAAAAGATTGAGAAGCACAGAGTATGTTGGTTTTCCAGCCTACATTGTGTAATAAATGAAAGAGTGCGGTGATGCATATGTATCGGCTGTGCTTTTGCTCCTCTCCTCGTGGTAGTAAATTCCAGAGATGCAGAAGTGAAAAATCTTGTCTCCTTGTGAGAGATGGCTCATTTACATGGCGAGCGTGCGTGCTGTGTTTCCTTGGTTACGGTCTTTGGGGGAATCTGCCACTGTAGCAGGCAACATGGAGTCAGGACGAGTGCACTGCAGGATGTCAGGCTGGAGAGTGTACTGGGTTCAAACGGAGCGATGTGTGCGTATTGTTAATAACGGGAACGGTCAAATAGACTGGAGTTTGCCTGGATACACATGAATGAATTATAATAATGGTTAGTGCATCATTTAATTCTGTTGAAGTGAGGCTATTTTGTTCATTCAAGTCGTGCAATTTCTAGCAATGATGTTGCAAGACCCTGTAATGTTTTGTGTAAGCTGTATAATACAAATGACTTGGTTAAAGAACACATATTAAATAGATGTTTTTGGAGCTTTTAACCATGTAACCACATTAGAATATTGTTCCCTCATTAAAAACATATCAGGATGTATTTCACGTTATTTACTCAGCTTTTAGTGATCTTGCAAAATGCCCTTTGCCTCTGAGCTTCACAAAACACTATTTGAGATGCCCGAGATTGTAATGTCATAGTTAAAAGCCCTGCACATTTTTTTTTTGTTTGTTTTGTTTTTTGTCTATAAATCATCAACAGACTAGTTTTAAGCATTTCTGCCGTCAAATCTCATTCTTTACTAAGGACGTAACCATATCCAAATCTCACTGTACGGTATTATGTAAATCGTATACTTTTTGCTTTTTAAAATATCAAGACTTTGGTGTGAAACATTACCATCCTAATCCCAGTAATTCAATTTCAAACCATATTTTTTCATGTTGTCTGCAATGAAATGAATCATGGGATGTGTAGTTCCCAATGTTTAATAGCTGTTGCTTCTTTAAAACAGTGCGTTTAAGCAAAGGAACTTGTAATTCAATTAGGGATGTAACAATAACTGAAATATCATGATATCGTATCATCAAAGTTCTCACAATAATATCATGGACCATCACAATATACCAAATTACAAGTCTCTTTGCTTAAATGAAGAGTTCTGGTGCAGCAATAACTAAAAAAAAGACAGGGGGAACTACATAGACCATGATCCTTTGCTCCATTTCAGTCCAGACTACAAGAAGAAATAACAGTTCTAACACTTTTAAGTCTTAGTTAATGGGATTAAGTCTTGTCAAGGCATTTTAAGAGGAAAGAGTGTCATATTAACATTTTTGTTCACCTCCACAAAATATCACAATAAATATTGCACCGTGAGATGTATATCGTGAAAATATCGTATGGAGACATTTGGATATTGTTACATCCCTTAATCGTGAGCCTCCCCACCATATCATGAGCTTTCCCACGATATCACAATAAATATCGTCCTGGGAGGTTCATACCGTGACGATATCGTATCGTGAGACTTGGATATCGTTACACTAATAAATTCAATATATTGTGACAACTCTTGGTATTATTGTAAGACTTTTGACGATACGACATCACGATATTTCGATTATTGTTACATCTCTATTCTTTACATTCATATCTGAACATATTTCTCATTACTTAATAATAATAATAATAATGCATCAGTTTTATATAGCGCTTTTTAGACACTCGAAGACGCTTTACAGAGCATTATTTACTCACTGACCTCAGGCTGACTGAAGCGAGGCTGCCAATCTGCTCCATCAGCCCCTCCGACCACCAACATCACTCACACACTCCACTTTTATATTTCATACTAGGCAATGTGGGTGAAATGTCTTGCCTAAGGACACAACAACCGTTTTTTACGACTGGCGCCCTCCTGTGGCACCTGATTTTCCCAGTGTCTCCCATCCAAGTACTAACCAGACCCAGCCTTGCTTAGCTTCTGAGATCTGACAGGATCAGGCTTTGACAAACTGCTATGGCCACTTAGTTTTATCGTTTTCTCTGTGGTAATTCCCTCTGCTGTCAGTAGATGGCGAGCTGCATCAGATCACAGGATGGGAAATACAGGATTTTTTGTAATTAGACATTATATTATGTTCTAAACCATGAAATGTACAAAGACTCAAGAGCACAACAACACAACTAAGACTAGCTTTGTCAGCCCCTTTTAGTCGCATTTGAAACCCGATTACAAAAGCCTCTTCGTGTTATGGTTAGCAGCTCTGTAGTGTTTATCCATTTCCAAACCTAATGAAATGTAAATAGTGAATGTACCGATTGAATTCAGCGCCTAATCAAACGCTCTCTCTGTGTTTTTTACAGGCATGCTGGTCGTGAACGTAACCTGGAGGAACAAGACGTACGTGGGCACTCTGCTGGACTGCACGCGGCACGACTGGGCGCCCCCGAGGTGAGCCAGCCCGATTTACTATTCCACCCACAGAGCGCAAGAGGAGCCGCCGACGTTCACATATGCATCCTCCAGTTTGCTAGATTAGATGATGAAACGCGCTGTACATCATTTCGCGGCGGTTGTGAAAGCCAACAAGCCCAGATTTTATTTAGTGCCTGTCTACTGTCACACATTGTAGTAAATGTCAAGCCTGAAATGGATGCATGAATCATTTATGTAGCGTCCTCAGCCTTCGCCCCGCTACATTCTGTCTGATATGAATCTGCAGCAGAGGCAACAGCTCAAGGATATATTGCACTGGCTCTGCGCTAACGGCCGCCTGCTGGGGAGCTGTGTTCTTTATCTCCAGCCCGCCGAGCCTCCAATCATTGGCAAACAGCTGATGTCCCAGGAGGTGGCTGTGGAAATGGAAAGCTGCTCTAACAAGCCAGATTGCAGAATCCAATTATTGGACTAATAGCTTTTTCTCAACACTGTAGAACATTCCCCACAAACGCGGCGTTTTCTTAGATTAGTGGGCGGTGGCGTGGTGTTCTCCAAGTGTAGTTTGTCTTTGCTAAAGGCAGTGCTGTGTGCAAGTGTTGGTGGATACACTGGTACATTTAGTTCCAACTGTTGTTTAAAGGTCCTTTATTACGCAAAATGGACTCTTGTGAAATGTGAACCATTTGAGAATGTTACGTCCTCAAAACAGACCTGGAGTGTTTTGTTTCATTCACTGATCTTTGAGTAATCCTGCATTATTAGCAGTGTTGGGGAGTAATAGATTACATGTACCAGAGTTATGTAATCAGAGTACAAATTATGAGTAACTGTATTCGGTTACAGTTACTGTTTAAGTGAGTGGTAATTAGATTACAGATACTTTGTTGGAATAAATGATTACTTGGTAGTATTTTCCTGTTTTCACATTTTGGACTATATCCCTTTTTTTGTTTGTTTGTTTGTTTTTTGTTTTTTTTTTCTGTTAATTCCACTCATTGCCAGACACTAAACCAGATCTAAACCCAGGTCTAAACTAGGACTAAACCAGGACTAAACCAATACTAAACTGTCTCAAACAGGATTTAACAGGACTAAATCCTGCTGTGTGGACATGTCTCCTCCTCTTCTATCAATAATATTTTTGTATTTGGTTCAGTAAAGTCTGGGCTTTTTATTTTCTTTTATCAGACAAAACTTCTGATGTGAAGATTTCCTCATCTTTTCTTCTTTACAGCAAATCAAGTAATCCAAAGTATTCAGATTACGTTACTCATTTTAAGTAATTTAATGGATTACATTACAAACTACATTTTGGGGTATGTAATCTGTAATCTGTAGGGGAATACATTTGAAACATAACCTTCCCAACACTTAACTTAAACTTGTGAAAAAAACCAAAAACTGCAGGTATGTTTTGATAAAGAAACTGCCTTATAACATGGCTCAGAAAACAGCGTCATATGGGCCCTTTAAAGCCGCTGTCTTAAAAATGTGAAAAACTGAACTAGTTCTTTTTAAACGTTTGCAGTGGTTGAAATGCGAAGTTATTCCTCACTTACCTTCAGGCATTCAGAGCATCCTAATTATTCACCGAGAAGAGATTCTATGCACTTTTCACTCTCTCAGCATTACATCACACTCTGCACTGGTTTCTAACAACGACTTGCATGCTAATGTGCACTTCCTGATTATCAAACAACTGCTGGCATTCAGAGACATCACAGAATTCTATAGACCAATATACAGATGGAGACAACTAAAATTAATATTGTTCAACTGCAGATTTTTGTGGAATGAATGAATCAATCAAACTTTATTTATAGAGCGATTTTTATACAAAAAATGCAACACAAAGCGCTTAACGTAACCTTAGCGTTGTAATATAGCATGGGCTTGGGTCTGGTCAGTAATAGAAATGATCAGGTTCCGTATTTGCGAGTGTGCCTTTCCGATAATTCAATGTAATCAATAGGAATCAATAGGAAAAACTGTCTCTTTCCCCTGTCTGAGAGTAAGATATCAGTTTGAATTTATTTGTTTGGAGGATGAGCCCCTGGAGATGTTTCACCGTCTCGTTTTCAAGGAGGTCTTCAGAGTCATAACAACAGAACAAAGATACAGCAGGGCAGACCGGAGGATACATACATTCAAATAAATATACCACACACACTCACACTTGACTGTTAGGCACATAAGAACTCAAATTTAAACAAAAACAAAAAAGACAAAGTTCAAATATAGTCACAAAATACAACAAGATGAACAAGAAAATTCAACAAAATGATCAAAAACAATTACACGGGTTATATAAATATTGAACAAGTGCATTTTTAAATGAGGGAACAGGTTCTATCACGTTGTAGAATCTGAAAAACCGTCAAGAAAACACTTAATGATTAGATGCAGACAGTGCACAGTGAACTTACATTAACTGTATTTAAGTAAATTTGTCTTAAAAACATGTCGATATGTCGTATTGTTTAATGCGATGATACAGTATTGATATTATGGGCTGCTGTATCGATATATCGCCAAGAGTATTTTTTGGTATATTGTAGTGGTGTAACGATATCCAAGTCTCATGATACGATATCGTCACGGTAGGAACCTCCCGGTACGATATTTATTGCGATATTATAGGAAAGCTCACGATATGGTGGGGAGGCTCGGGATTAGGGATGTAACAATATCCAAATTTCTTATGATAGTTACGTAATGTTTTCACGATATACATCTCACGGCACGATATTTATTGCGATATTTTGTGGAGGCTGACAATCTGAATATGCTACTTTCCTCCTAAAATGCCTCGACAAGACTTAATCCAAAGAACTAGGACTTAAAGTGCTTAAGAACTGTTATTTACTTTTGTAGTCTGCACTGAAATGGAGCAAAGGATCATGGTCTGTGTAGTTCCCTCTTTTTTTTTTAGCTATTGCTGCACCGTAACTCCAGTCCACGATATTATTGTGAGAACGTTGACGAAACAATATCACGATTTTTCAGTTATTGTTACATCTCTAGTATATTGTACTAAATAATTTTTGTTACAGCGCTACAGTTTTGTTGCTTGTTTAGAGGAACACATTTGACATATAGAGGCTTTGCACCGTCACGTGACCCCCATGGCAAAGGTGACTTCAGTAGCATCGGAGAAACATGGGCAGGTTTTGTTGTGTATTTGGTTGTTCTGGACGCTCTGAACGGGATAAAATGAATAATTTCTTCACTGTTCCTCTGGAAATGACTCATCAGGATCAAACAAGGGAATTATCGAAAAAAAGACGGGAATTAACTCTAGAGAACATAAACCGCAAAGAGATTTCCTATGGTACCATCAAGACACACTCACGTCACTTTCATCAAGGTATTTGCTATTTAAATTGTTTCATAGTTTATTTAATGAGAGAAGCACATTTACTGAACTAAAATGTAAAAAGAAAACATTTGCAGTGTGAGCAGCAGTAGAAACTGTATCTTCCAGCACATATAAACATGTCACTCGTCGTAGGACCCATGTTTTCTTTATTGTCTTGTTTATCTACAACTGTGTCTTCTAGAGTGAATCTCTTTTTGTGAGTGGATCTTTCTAATGTTCGCGAGGATCTTTTCATGGCCGATTCTTTCGAGGTTCGGCTCACAGACTCTTCGACTCGTGCACCGTGTTGATCACAGGAGCCCAGTGTGGGTTCTTGAGTCGTGCAGGTTTTCCTGGATAAATTTATGAAATTTTTGTTCAGTAAATGTGCTTCTCTCATTAAATAAACTATGAAACAATTTAAATAGCAAATACCTTGATGAAAGTGACGGGAGTGTGTCTTGATGGTACCATGGGAAATCTCTTTGCGGTTTATGTTCTCTAGCCACAATTCCCATCTTTTTTTTGATAATTCCCTTGTTTGATCCTGATGAGTAATTTCCAGAGGAATAGTGAAGAAACGATTCGTTTTATCCCGTTCAGAGCATCTAGAACAACCAAATACACAACAAAATCTGCCCATGTTTCTCCGATGCTGCTGAAGTCAGTGACATAGTGTGCCCGGTGTCATGGCGACATAGGTACCGTTGCCATGGTGGACACGTGACGGTGCAAAGCCTCTGTTCACTTTATTTAAGATTAAAATGAGCGTGTTTCATATTAACTGCACATTAAATTGTTTAACAAAGACTTTTAGTATTAGAGACATGATTTAGCCTTTATTTTTATTGAACAGTATCAAATCAATTTGAAATATATTGTGTTGAATCGAAAGCTCACTATATCAACATATGTATTGTATCATGGCCTATGTATCGAGGTATGTATCGCATCGGCAACTTCTTAATGATACCCAGCCCTACCGCCCAGACAGTACACAGTGGACTTACGTTACCCTAACACAATATATCTGTACTGGGGTAAGACACATTTTGCTGAATTACATTAGAAAAGCCAGGGCCATTAAGTTGTCAGTACAGTCTCGTTTAGGTGCGAGCTAATGCAAGCCAACGGAGCTATTATGAAACACTGCAGCTGTATTAAAGTGCATTCAAATCTCATCATTCAGAACTCAGAATTTAGAACAGCCCAATCAATACACTGTAACAGGCTGAGTTTTAACCGTAAACCAAGTCCACAAATCTGCAACGTGACAGTCGAACAGCGAACTCCACCTGAGATGATTTTAAAGAGATTTTAGGATGTTGTAATTTGGGGTTTTCAGGCTTTTTCTACAATGTGATGATGTCATATTTCCAGATGGGTGGGTTTTCCCTGCTGATAACATTTTATTTTTATGAGAACTATCCATAAATACTGAGCCTGATCATGTATTAGTGATTTAATTTTAACAGTATTCATTTTAGCTGCCCCCCATCTGTATTAAAGGTGCATTATGTAACTTTTTAACTTCTTGGGTTCTTTTTAAAGACAATATTGTAAAGTGTATTTACCTTTTTGACATGTTTGGACTACGAGCTGCAGGTCATCTTCAGAACTGTCCCCGGTGTTGGTGGTGACGTGTCGTATATCAGCTGTTGTTACTTCCTGTGGGCGTGGTGAGTCTGATGGACCTGCAGGTCGCTCAGACTGACCACGCCTCAAGTCGCCCAGTGTTCTCTGGAGGAGGGCGTCCCAGGTGTGTGAAAGGAGGAACGCTCCGTCATCATGGTTAATGCTGTTCGTGCCTCGTTTCCTGACGGCGCGTTCCTCCTTCATCAAATGTGTCGCATAAACAAGTTTCCTTCCTCTAAACCAGGGGTCTCAAACTCAGATTACCTGGAGGCCACATTAGATAAAGTCTGAGTGAGGCTGGGCCGCATTGAGTATTCGATAAATAGCAGTTGCACGAAAAAAAAGAGAGAGAGAGAGAGAAAGAACACGCAACACACTCTTTTAATCTTTAATAACAGTTCAGAACATGAAAATGTATTTAGAACGTAAGTTTAAACTAATACGTCTTTTCTTCTTTTGCCTACTCCTTGCTGGTTGAAACCTTCCTACGCCCGCGGTAGGGGGGTGGGATTGTGCGTACATCTACCGCAGGCCGCACTGACATTATTCTTGGGAATTAAGTGGAGGGCCGCAAAAAATCCTTCCGAGGGCCGCAGTTGGCCCCCGGGCCGCGAGTCTGAGACCCCTGCTCTAAACAATCAACAAAACTGTAGCTGTAACAAAATAATTTAGTAAAATATACCAAAAAAACACTCTTGGTGACATATCGATACAGCAGCCCATGATATCGATACTGTATCATCACATTAAACGATACGATCATCCTCATTAACGTCATTAAAATAATTACAAAAAGATTAGAAATGATACAAAACATGTCTTAACAGTTCAACATGTGTCAGAACTGTATATTGTAGACCTACATGCAGATCGTGACAAGGCAACTCCAAAAAAAATCTCTTGCGAGCCACCTGAGGGTCCTGACCTGGTCTTTGGGAAACACTGCCCTAAAGTCATGGAAAATTCACTTTAGGTCATGGAAAAGTTTTGCAATTTTGTCAGTGAAAAAGAGCGGGAACCCTGCACCTGAAATGTAGCAATACAAGAAGTTAGAGTTTAGTCACAAAGAAATAATCTGATTTAACGTTTGTGAATTCACCTTTCAGACATGTCATGGCAAAGTCCAATGTTATCCATAGGAATATCTGGCTCCCGCCCCCATCGTGCGGTATGACATCATCACATTTTAGAAAACCGCCAGTTGTTTATTATTCCCGTTGCCATCGAAACTACAACTGGTATTTTGTTTACTGTGTACGCTGTTGCAAACTATTCTACACGTTGGTTTGTCATATTTTACCATCAGCTAAGCATAACACAAAGCCTGTCTGCTCCTGCCTACTTCAAGTACTAGCATATTTATACTATGTAGGAACTGTAGGAATGCATGTCGGAGTGTCCATTATGCGCGAAAGAATCCAACCGCTAATGGATATCTGCAGACCGATGCATCATAACATGTCTGAGTAATGCTCTAAAGACGTTGTATTTTTACTCCCCGCGCTCTCGTAGTTTTCAGCACGACTACATTAGAGCGAGGCCATGAATAATTCAGAAAGCTTCGGGCTCTCGCAGTATAAACTTGGAGTGGTAATGAGAGTGAATCCACCTGCCACTATCACACACACTCTACCCGATCCGCGTCACCCGCTGAGGCTCAAATTGTTTGCTAGAACTCGTAGCAGCAGCTGCGAGCCATGCACCAGTGTTTTTATCAGAGGGCCAACCTTCAGTTCTGTGCGTGGAGATAATGGCTCCACCGTGCAAGGCCAAGCTACAATCTGAGCTATGTAAATGGATGTTTTGATTGTGTCGCGTGTGTGCTGGCTGACACTTTTCGAATGGCCCACTTTACAGATGATGTCAAAACCTTAGGCAAACAAACGGGCACATGGCACGGGCTCTACATTGAAACGCTTTGTGAAACCAGAAATCGCGCAAGTAAAACGAGGTAAAGGTCCTATAGTACACAAAATGGATTCTTGTGAGCTTCAAGCAGCGTTATAAATGTCTATTTTTAGCAACTGCGAAAAGCGCTTTTGGCAGTTTTATTTGGAGAAGTTGGAGGTCATTGTGCAGTATTAGTAGACAAAATATGACTTTTTATCTTTGGGTGGTAGAAGTGTACTTTATTTTCTGACAATGAAAACATTTACATGATGTTTTTAATTCTGAATTTATTGTTCTGAATTAAATAGTTTGGAATTAAAATATTCTCCTTCAAGTATACATGGAAATAATAATTCCGAATTGAGGTTAACATGGAAAACACGTTAAATCGCCTTTATTTAATCAAAGTCTCGGGGTGGGGAATGGGTCTGATTGGACAGAGACACCAACGTATTTACGTCGACCGGAAGAAAACACACACTTCAGCTGCTACCGTCTTTTCTGTCATCTCAGTTTGTCGTTACGCCACGGACACAAACATGATCCAAACTTTTTTCGCAGTCATTTCGATGATAATTGCGCAGCAGTTCGAGAATTCTGTCATCACGCTTTACGTCTGTCGGCTGAGGAGGAGAAGGGAAGAGTGTCGGAGAAGGAGGAAGAAGACAAAGTGAGTGTGAGGCTGCTCTACCTCAGCCCACTCCCACATCCCGCTCACAAATCCAAAGAGACGTGGATGAAAGTCCGAAGCCAGGACTGGTGGAGCCGAATTGTACGGATCGCATCAGAAGGGCGACACAACGAGCATGAACTGAACCACCCACATTATTTTTAAGAAGAATAAACGTTTACATGATCAAAGAATAAACCACCCACTTACTTACTTACTTAGAAATTAAGTGTTTACATGGTCTTTGTAAAGCAGAATTTGTTTTTATTCAGAATTAAATTATTTTTATTTGGAATTAATGTAAACATGTAAACGTGGTAAATGTTCCTTACTTGTTGTAGGTTTAGCTGCAGATGAAAACTACTGCTGGGTTTCAAATGTCATCAAAACATTCTATCAGCCAATGGTGTTTAATGCAGATAAGAACAGCTTAAATGATTCATATGCTTAATGTAGTACTCTAAACATGAAACATTTAGTTGTAATACAGTAGGGTTTTGGGTCTAGTCAATAACAGAAATCTTGAATTCACCTTTTGGATATTTCTTGACAAAGTACAGTGTTATTAATAGGAACATTGTACTTTTGTTTTGGTTCATGTAAAGACCACAGTCCACATTATGTAATAAGAATGAAGTTTACAATATTCTGATTAATCATAAAGTTAGTTTATGATTAATCAGAATACTGTAGATAGTCTCAAAGGCCTGTTTTGAGCGTGGCTGCTAATTGAGCCTGTTAGACATGTGTTTAACTTGAAAAACTGCCAGTGCATCTAAATATAACGCTTCCTCATTCCAACATTCCCTAAACCTCGGCTATTTATTTTACATATGTCAAAACACAATTGTCTACATATTTTATTAAGTATGCAACTGTTAATATAATGTTTCATGATGTTTCTTTAGTTTTTTATTGATAACAAAATGAGTTTGAGCATTTAGATTTTTTGCCAGTGAGTGGGCTTAGCTTATGTTCAGCTTTTTTTTTTAATTAGACAAGAAAATTCTAATGATTTAGCAGTCTGCCTGTAATTTGTTAAGACACGAAGATCTTGCATTGCAAACATGTGAAGAAATACAACTTAATACTGTTTTTTTTTTTTTTTTTAGATAAATGAAAGTGGTAGGTTCTTTTTTTTATTTATTGTTTTCAATTTTACAGTTTTTTCATTATAAACATGGTTCTCAAGATTCAAATTTTTCATACCTTCAAGAAACTATTTAGATTAGATCTTGTAGTAAACAATATATTACCAATGACACCTTCAAATGCCGTAGTTTTCTAAAGGTTGTCTGTCCTCGTTTGTGTTGCAGGTTCTGCGAGTCCCCCACCAGCGACCTGGAGATGAGAAACGGGCGCGGCCGGGGCAAACGCATGAGGCCCAACAGCAACACGCCCATCAACGACAACAGCAATTCGTCGGACAACAAGGGCACTACCAACAACAAGACCCGCGGTGCGTCCAACAGCAAGGGTCGCCGCGGCAGCCAGACCCCTTCGGAGCGCCGCACCCCTCCCAACAGCAACACCGAGGACGTCAAAGCCAGCCCCTCCTCCGCAGGCAAACGCAAAACCAAACCTGCTTCGGACATGGAGCCCAATTCGAGTTCAGAGGACTCTAAAGGCAACAAGCGGATGCGTACGAATTCGAATAGCGGAGTAGTAGGCGGGCTCCACTTGCCGACTATAAAAGCGGAGCCTCTTCCTCCTCCCATCGACCGGACTTGCCCATCGCCAGTTCTCATCGACTGTCCCCATCCCAACTGCAATAAAAAGTACAAACACATCAACGGACTCAAGTATCACCAAGCTCGAGCTCACAACGATGATGATGTTAAGTTGGAGATTGACGGGGATAGCGAATACGGGGAAGATTCCACTCTCCACCCCGAACCGGGAAACTGCAACGGAGCGTCGATATCGCAGAAAGGTTGCATGTCACCGGCGAGATCGATAACGCCAAAAGGTAGAGGGTTCGACGCCCAAAGTCCCTCGCCTTCGCCGGGCAAGTTTGGGTCCAAGCCAGGTAAAAAGAAAGCCATGGAAGTCGAGGTGGAGCCCATGGACGGTTGCGAAGACGGAGCGTGCCTAACTGACGAAGCGAGCAATGATGGGCTGGATGACAAAAGAGGAGGGAAGAAAGGTGGGGGGAAAGCTGACAAGTTGGCGCAGAAAAACATGAAGTCTCCGCGGACCGTCGCTCCAGGATCGGTGGCGTCCCAGCAAATGTACGCCTTTCCTCCTGGCAATCCGAACTCCACTTCCGCGGTTGCGCCGATCATGCAAGGTATTCCCAAAAGCCCCCAAATGAAAGGCGCGCAACCTAAACCGCCAGCCATAGCTGACCCCGCTTCAAATAACTCCAAAGACAAGAAAAAGAAAGAAAAGAAGAAAAAGGAAGGGTTGAAGGATGCGGAAAGCCCTAAACCGGCGGGGAAGGGTGTAAAAACTGAGGATGGGAAGGTCCCTTATCCAGATCCCTGCGAACAAGGGAATAAAGGAGATGGACTTCTTAATGGATCTTCGGACCCCCACCAGAGTCGGCTAGCTAGCATAAAAGCAGAAGCCGACAAGATTTATAGCTTCTCCGATAACGCGCCAAGCCCGTCGATCGGCGTGGCGAGCAGGATAGATGGGACGGGCATGCCGCAGCCCCTAACGCCCCTTCACATTGTCAGTCAGAACGGAGCCGACAACGCATCAGTGAAAACCAACAGCCCTGCCTACTCGGATATCTCGGACGCGGGGGAAGACGCAGAGGGCAAGTTAGAAGGGGTCAAAGCTAAGGCGGAAGACCAAGGCATTCGAGAAAGCGTCAAGAAGGCGTTGTTCCCAAACCAACCATCCAGCAAAGACTCCCCGTACTATGCCGGATACGAGGCTTATTACTCACCCAACTACGTCAACCCGAGTCCCGGTGGGCCCAATCAGGGAACGCCAGGAGGGGAAGGGCCGGTGAAGTTGAAAAGGGAGGATGACCAAGAGCAAGGCGAGGATAAAGTCAAGGTGGAGATTCACGAAGATCGCAAACCGGACGTCAACACTCCCGGTCAGCAGCCCCAGCAGCCGTCGGTCATCCAGCAGAGAACCAACATGTACATGCAGCCGCTGTATTATAACCAGTACGCCTATGTTCCCCCCTACGCCTACCACCCCGACCAGGCCTACCACAACCACCTGATGAGCACCAACCCGGCCTACCGACAGCAGTACGAGGAGAGGCAGAGGCAGATGGTGGAGCAACACCGCGCAGCCGAGAAGAAGGATGTAAAAGAGAGGGAGGCCATGAAAGAGGACTGGAAGCAAAAGAGTCCTCTGCCCCCCAGTCTCTCCAAAGCCCCCAGCCAGTCCGACTTGGGGAAGACGCAGCCCCAGAGCAAATCCAGAGACTCTCCTTCAGAACCCAAGTCCATGGGCGGGCTAAAGGGGGACGAGCCCAAGATGCCACAGGCAGAGGGGTTGAAGATGAAGCTGACGGACGGGGCTCACCACGGCAAGGAGGACCCCAAACAGGCTCTGGAGGCCCGGGGACAGGCGGGGATGGAGCAGGCCATGTGGTACAGACAGGTAACCCATCACTCCATACTTTGTTGTGTTGGTTCACTCTATGTGGCTTTTTTCATGTAAATAGAAAACCACCAGATTTGACATTTACTACAGTTACATTTATTTTACAGTAACTTTTTAACAAATATTGTACTTTTCAGATTACCTTTTGAGCAGCATACTTTTACTCAAGTAGTAGTACAGTTACTTCAATTTAAGTAGGAATAACAGTTGTGATTCCTCTTCCCACTGTGTGTAAGATTTGAACATACATTCATTTCAAATCACAAATCAGATGTTATGTTCAGATAGCTACTCCTAGTTTCCCCAAATACTTTTTCACTCTTTCACTTTCTTGGACCACTTCTGTGTACTTCTATACTTGAGTTATATTATTTCTGAAGTAACATTACTTTTACTTATAATTACTCACAATTTTTGGCTGCTCTACCCACCTATGTCAGTTTGTTAAACGTTCCAGAAAATATATTTAAGAGAAGTTTATAATTTTTGTTCTACAAGCTATAAAATGAAGTGTTAGATGTACTTGTCTATTGATTTCTTAGAAATGAAAAGCTTTCTCTTTAATGGCCTGGGCCTTTCCAGTATTGTTTGTCCTGTAAATGTAGCACTATAGGGGAGGGCGATGTGCCAAAATATTAATATCATGATTGGAGCTAGATCACAGTTTGATTCATATAAACCTGTATATTTTGACTTAGAGTGAATTACAGCTTCCTCTGAAAGAACACACTTTACTGTAGTTGATGAAATCCACCTGATGCTCCCTCAGAGCGTTCTTAAGGTTGAACAACAGGAGGTGTGAGAGGAAAGGTGTCTTTGTTTGAACACAGAGCTGCATTCAAGAGAGAGAAAATTAGAGATCATAATATACTGAAATTGCATACTCACCATATCAGCCAACCCTGTGTAATATTCCCATTCACATAGTCACATGTTGTTCCACAGCAGTATCCTGAGAGCCAGAAGCCGTCAGTGGAGGAGGAGCACCAGCATCCGCCCCGGTGGAAGGACGAGCGTGACCGGGACAGGGAGCGAAAGCTAAAGGAGGAGAGGAGCAGGCCCAAGGACTCTCAGAGCGCAGCTAAAGAGACAGAGGCTAAAGACAGTGAGCGGCTGACAGAGGAGCACCGCTCCCTCAGCAAAGACTCCAGGCCTAACCCACACATGCAGTTCTCCTCCCCCCTCGCACAGCACCAGGGTTACATGCCCTACATGCATGGGTACCCCTATGGACAGGGCTTTGACCCCAACCACCCCGGGTACAGGGGCATGCCCTCTGTCATGATGCAGAACTACCCAGGTACACACACTACTGCAGTCACACTGGATATGAAAAGAGAAAGCAACACTCTGGGAAAACATTTAGCCAACCAACATAGTTACAGGGTTTTCCTTCTATCAATGACTGAAACACAAATTCAAGTTAATGAACATGTTGGCTTCAAATTGTGTGATAATTTTAAAAATGCTTTTTGAACTAATTGAGTCTCTTAAATTTTGCTCATTTTGGAGTTTTTTGGTATTTTTCAAAATCACATCTTTTTTAGCAATTCATCTTTTTCAAAGGAATGACACTGAACCACTTGGCACAATTGCACTTCTCTGGCTGAAATGATTAGTGGATGATTCACAGCTCCTCTGAGACAGTGTGAGCCGTAATGATGTGATGTTAGGAAATGAATTTAATTCTATCAGTGTATCACATGTGTTGAATAGTATAGGAATTAAATGCACTAAAACTGCAGAACACACAGATCCTAGTTGTTTAATGCACTAATGTTTCAGCTCCAAACTGAAACGTCTCATGTGTGATTCTGAAAAGCCTGTTCACTGTCTGGAAATGTTTCAAATATTAGTCAGTTCTGTGTTTACATGAAGCTTGTCCTTACATTCTAAAGCCCAAACAGCTGAGCTTTTATTTACCCACTGCTATGATAACGACAGCAGAGCAGTGATACAGAATGTGATTTAATTGTTGCCGGACTAAGTGCATTAGGCAAACTTAATCCACAGCAGTTAGCCATTTGAATTCTCACTGAGAATAGGTGGTATAATATACTCCAACTGTCATAAATATTAACATGATTTTCTCCTTCCAAGGTTCGTACCTCCCCGGAGGCTACCCCTTTTCCCCATACGGGAGTAAAATAGTTGGTGAGGAGGGCAGTGAGAAGTCTCGTGCCAGTCCCACTGTGACTAAAGCCGCCCCGGACTCCAAAGCGCTGGACATTCTGCATCAGCACGCCAGCCAGTACAAGAGCAAGTCCCCCACAGTGGGAGACAAGGCTCCTCATGAGCGGGACAGAGAAGGGGAGCGAGGAGCGACCGGAGAAAGGGAGCGCGATGTGGACCGGCCGCGCTCTTCCCCCTCGCAGCGCATCATGCCCTCACATCACCACCTGGGATACCCTCTGCTCTCAGGGCAGTACGACCTCTCCTACTCCACAGGTACGTCTGCTCCACCCACCAGCACCAGGGGACGGGTTCAGGGTGTAGGGTCAGGTGAGGTTTTGAACTCTTCTGATGTTTCAGACACACTGAAGTGAAAATAAAACACCATAACTCAATATAAGCACACTTCAAATACTTATTTACTTACTACCACATTTCAAGTACTTTGGCAGTACCTGACAGGACTAAAGAGGAGAGTGAGGGGGGGCAGAGGGGCGGGGTCTAGACCAGGGGTGGGCAATTCTGTTTTCTGTGGGGCCACATGAGAAATAGAAAAAATTGTGGAGGGCCAGACTAAAACGCTTAACTCAGTTCTCCATAATATTAAATGTATTTCTTTATAAAAAGCAGTAAACCACTAAACCCATTTAGTCTTAGTTTAGACCTGGTTTAAACCTGGTTTAGACCTGGTTTAGACCTGGTTTAGACCTGGTTTAGACCTGGTTTAGATCTGGTTTAGACTGCTTTAGATCTGCTTTAGATCTGGTTTAGACCTGGTTTAGACCTGGTTTAGACCTGATTTAGACCTGGTTTAGTCCTGATTTAGACCTGGTTTAGTCCTGGTTTTAGTGAGATTGCCTTACAACAAATGTTATTTAAAAACACGTCTAAAATAAAAGTAATGCAGCTTTAGTCCATGCAGGAGGTAAAATTATAAAATGTTTATTTTGTAATTCCAAATGAGTTTAAACGGGCCGGTCAGAGTGAAAAGGGCCGTATGTGGCCCCGGATCTGGACTATGCCCAGGTCTGGTCTAGACATACAGGAACAGTGTGTTTGTTCTAACAGGTGTAACTCCGCCTCTGTTGGTGTTTGTGAGGAAACACCTGGCTAGAGTCATTTTTACCAGAAAGCTGTTAATTGACCTAGTTAGGACTAAAAACACAGTGCTGTTAAGGCGGGTGCACAACAGCTTGTCTGTGTGGAGATTTACTTTTATTTGATTGCACATGTTTTTATTGTTATTAAAAGTATCTCCAAAGATTTTCTGTATCTTGGCCTGGCGGTGTCATCTGCTCCTTTATATTCAAATATGGTAACACTTTATAATAACTACACCTTATTTAGCCTTAATAAAGCATGAACAAAGACTTAATTAATAATGATTCACGCTTAGTAACTACTTAATTACTACCTGAATTAGCACTTAACTTGCACTTAATTCACCTGTGCTGTAAATAGTAACTCAATACTTCTTAATTACTCGTGAACTAACCATTTGCATGTTTACAAATGCATATTTAAGTTCACATTTGAGCATTTATTAATGATTAATAAGCTATGAGAGAATGATTTACTAATAATGCAATGCAATGATCATTCAGGCAGCTGTTATCTGTTAGTTAAGTCTTTCTGAGAGCTTTTCTAAAGTGAAGACTAATTATGTTTATTAAACATTTGTTAAGTTTGGTCAAATTCCAGAGAAACAATAATGCATCACTAGTAAATCATTCTCTCCTGGCTTACTAATCATTAATAAATGCTCAAATTTGTACTTAAATATACATTTACAAATGCACACAAATGGTTAGTTCATGAGTAATTAAGTAAGAAATACTTATGAGTAACTATTTACAGCACAGGTGAATTAAGTGCAAGTTAAGTGCTAATTCAGGTAGTAATTAAGTAGTTACTAATCGTGAATCATTATTAATTAAGTCTTTGTTCATGCTTTATTAAGGCTAAATAAGGTGTAGTTATTATAAAGTGTTACCAAAAATATTAAATGAATTGTTCAAAATATAATTCAGCGCACAATACTTCTTTCAAAGAGTTCCCAGTAGTATAATAAGTATCATGTTTGAGTGTGAATCGAAGTGTTGGCACTCGGCCTGCGTGTACCGGCGCAGTGAACAAGTCAGCAGTCTGACAGGCTAAGAACAAAGGCAGCTAGAGATAAACCTGCTAAGCTGATTATCTGAGGATATTTAAGCACGGACATGATCAAAACAAGTCTAATGGAGGTGCACGGGCTTCAAAAACACAGAGGAGCTTCTTGGATTTGAATGTCCTGATGCAGATAGATGTAATTTTTGATGAATGTACAAATTAAAAAGCTCAAAAGTAACATTGGAATAATATTGGCCTATTAAATGCATTGTTTTCTGTTCTTTGTCAACACAAATGGAGGTGGTTAGAGTTGGACGTGTCTTGTGGATGTGTCATGTGTGAATACAAAGAGATAAAGGCAACAGGAGAAAAGTACTAGCTAATTTGCACTTGTAATTACACGTGATTGGTGCATAATTGAGCCATAAAACACTGTCACAGAATGAAAAAACAAATTACACAAAGCTTTGGCAGCATATGTAAATGTTGTGCTTTGCTTTTGTGCGGCAACAAAATGTGTTCTCGTCTGCAGCGCGCGGAGAACTGGGAGGTCCATTATTCACGTTTGAATGTTAAAAGTTTGGACCTCCGAATGTTCAGCTAAAATAACGTGAAAATCGTCGCCTCTCTGTGTGAAACTGCGGCTGTGAGGCTCGTCATTTTGGTCTGAAAATGTTCGTATTAACCCGATCCTGGTGGGTTTTTTTTGTTTTTATTCCGACATCCCTTCGTTACGACATGTCTGTATTTAGACTTGCCAGTTTTCTGACACTTTTTAGTATCGCTATTCCGACACGTTATATTTTTTAAGTGATGAAATGAATGAAGCACAAAGGGCCCATGCCGCCTCCGTTTTAGATGAGATATTTTCCCGAAGGCTGGCCTATTCACGGGCGGGGTCTAGACCAGGGGTGGGGAATTCTGTTTTTCATGGGGCCACATGAGAAACAGAAAAAATTGTGGAGGGCCAGAACAAAACACTTAACTCAATTCTCCATAATATTAAATGTATTTCTTTATAAAAAGCAGTAAACCACTAAACCCATTTAGTCTTAGTTTAGACCTGGTTTAGATCTGATTAGACCTGGTTTGGACCTGGTTTAGACCTGGTTTAGACCTGGTTTAGGACCTGGTTTGGACCTGGATTAGACCTGGTTTGGACCTGGATTAGACCTGGTTTAGACCTGGTTTAGTCCGTGTTTAGTCTGTGTTTAGTCCAGGTTTAGTCCAGGTTTAGTCCAGGTTTAGACCTGGTTTAGTCCAGGTTTAGTCCAGGTTTAGTCCAGGTTTAGACCTTTAGTCCAGGTTTAGACCTGGTTTAGACCTGGTTTAGACCTGGTTTAGACCTGATTTAGATCTGGTTTAGTTCTGGTTTTCGTGAGGCTGCCTTACAAAAAATGTCATTTAAAAAAAACTAAAAACACCTAAAATAAAAGTAATACAGCTGTAGTCCATGCAGGAGGTAAAATTATAAAATGTTTGTTTTGTAATTCCAAATGAGCTTAAATTGGCCGGTCAGAGTCAAAAGGGCCCATGCAGCCTCCATTTTAGATTAGATATTTTCCCGAACACTGACCTGTTCACGCTTTTTTAAAATGCATGACTGTTTCCCACAACGATCAGTTAGGACGTTTTCCCACTGTCTGATATCCTGTATGGTCCAAGTATTTTACACCGGCCCAATGGTCTTATGGTATATGGAAGTTCAAAGTATAATAAGCTGTCACATTCATATTATTCATGTCAGAAAAGCGTATTGTTTGAAAAATCATAAATTGAGCTACTACTAAAAAGTGGAAGTAGTGGGACGCTTGAAAACTCCGACAATTAGACGTCAACATCTAAATATCAGCATGTCGGTATAGCATCATGGAACTGATCTGTGTCTAAATTCAGATATCAACATTATTAACAGACCTATTTCCCCTGAAGTGGCTCCTGCGCTCCAGCGTTGGCAACAGGTTTGATTTACAGCGTCGTTGCTAAGCACCCGCCCCCTTCCAAACCAGCAGGGCAAGGAGGGCGTGTCTCTTCCACAGCCTCGCTCTGATTGGCTCTTTGGATTTATGCTCGGATGACGTCATTCGTGTGTGTGGGTTTTATTTTTGTTTTTGTGACTCCCATTGTTGTAATACGCCATTTCTGAGTTCACTATATAATAAATATCACTTGCTGGTTTGAGTATCGGCTACATGACAGTATTCCAGACAATATCCTGGTTGTATTAAGTACATTGTTTATTAGTTAGTATTAGGTAGTAACAGACACTTAAAACTAAGATAATTCAAAAACATGCCTGAAAAGATCATTCATGCATGGCTTCTATTCAAACCCTCCTTCCCGTTGACGATAAGTTTCCAGTGTCCAACCCTGCACCTACAGGCCGACACCGAAAATGTGTCTCTGATTTGGCAAACATTTTAAAACTCATATCAGGTTATTCATCTTGTTTTCAGATTTTTTATCTACTTACTAGTTCTGAATTGGATTAATTCTAGTCTAGAGGTCGTTTGTTTTAAGAGAACTTGTCAAGTAAAATAGTCTTGCTGCACGGACAAATAATTTCACTACTTCTGAGTCATTTTCTGATAGATTTAAGTGTTTATATCTTACATTTTGGCCAAGCTTTTTTGCAGTTTATGTCGCACAATTCTCTAAAATACACAAAAGCAGGATACAAAATAGTGGTTTATTAGTGGAATTCTCCCTGATTTTTTGGTGCTCTGAAGGGGGAGTGATGCACGGAGAGCAAAGGGAGGAGGGACTAAGAATGTCAAAAATAAAGTGTAACTTATTAAACATGTTAATATGATGTTTTGACGAATATTAGAGGTGCAAGACAAAAATGATTCAGTGATATATCTTGATTCTTGATGATGATAAGTTTATTTTGGATGTTTCCATAAATAATAAATTGCATTATCACACAGTAAATGATAACTTGCATATGCAATAATCAGCAGATACCTAAAGACTATTATTTTACACTGCTCATCACAACTATAATAACCACAAATAGAAATAAAAGAAAAGAGAAAAAAAAAATCTTTTGTTCTGAAAAATTCTTCATTGCACAATTCCGGAATCGATTCAAAATGGATCTAAATCGATTTTAAAATATTTTTCACAAAAATTCTTAAGTTACATTCACTGTTCTCGTGATTTGAAGGTGTAGTTGACGATATTATTAGAAGTAATTATTAATAAATTGCAGTATATCATCCAGTGTTTCGTGATATATTAAATCAGGGGTGTCAAACTCATTTTGTTCCGGGGGCCGTATCCAACCTATTTTGATCCCAAAGTGTCCGGATCAGAAAACTCATGACATATAAACCCCAAAAATAACAATAAGTTCAAATATTTGTGCAGAGAAACACAAATCTATTACAGAAATCTTTTTTAATTGATGAACTCTTTCTTTTACAAAATATTATAATATTATGAACAACCTGAAACTTTAAGAAAAATGCAATTTCAACACAATGTTTTAACATGAACTTGTATGTAAATAGGAATAAGTCAATTTTACTTGTTAAATTCTGCACTCGGCTCCACTTTTCTCATGTTGGACATTTTTCTGATGAGGGTGTCACGGTCAACAGTCAAAACGATCGTCCTTTAAGAGCGTTTGGAAAGAGACAAGTCTTCATTTGTGCTGCTCTGGTGGGAGGGGCCACGTACAGAGACACTGGAGAATCTGATATGCTCAGCACTGCAGAAAATTTACAATATTTTAATAGAAAATATAATTACAATATTTTTTTAGAAAATCGGCCTGAGAACCAAATTAAAGGTCTTGGAGGGCCAGATCTGGCCCCTGAGCCGTATGTTTGACACCTGTGTATTAAATCGTGACATGGATATGATATGTATCGTATCATCAGACTCAAGGCAATGCACACTCCTACTGCAATATAGCATTTTAAAAACAATAAAAGCTAACATGAGGATGTCATTGTGTTTGCAGTAGAAGTATAATACCTCCTTGTTGAAGTATCGGTTTAGGAGTATTGGAAGTGAAAAAGCTGAATCCTTGTTCTAGTTGGGAAATGCCCCAGTTACCAGTCGCCTGCAACACACCACGGTCTGTTCCTGAAAGCTGTTGGTAGTGCTTTCGAATGCTACCATGACTACCAGCCTGTGTGTGCCCCCCCCCCACACACACACACACACACTACACACTCCTCCTCCTCCAGCCCGCCCCCCCGCCTCACAAAAACGCACAGCCATTACACTGAAACACAAGACACAAACTAGCTGCGCTGTTTGCATACAACACAGGACAGGTGCCAGGGCTCCCTCAGCACCAAAACAGCAACAAACGAAAGCTTCCGTCATCCGCCCGGGCTCGCGCTGCTCCGGCGGAGGGTTACGCCGATACGAGGGAGTCGTGCTCTGGCCCGGGTTTGGCTGTGATGAGGCTGTGCCAGAGCCGTGCCGCAGTGAGACAATACGCCGCTCTCTCGTTCGGTGCAGGTCTTCTGAGGACAAGTGAGAGCTCAGACTGTAATGAAGACATGAGATCAGAGCCACTACGGCGCAGACAACAGGGACATCTAGTGGTCCAACTGCGGTACTGCGGCAGAGAGCAGCACAGGTCAAACGCACTGTGATTATGTAAGACAGAATTCTAAGATGAACTTTAAAAACCTAGAAAGTATCTGTGGGGTACATTGAGTTGGATCATTTGAATTTAGTCCTCAAATGTAAAATGTAGATTAGGTATTTGAGGTCATTTTTGTCTTGAATTGATTTATAGTTTCAGATCAACGATGGGTGTAAATATGAACTCGATGCATTTGCTGCGTCCCCAGATTAGATTATCTTGTAGTTATAAATACACAAAGATAAAACCATAAAGTGGTTGTTTAGTTGTTTTCATTCTCAGTGTTGAACTCACATACAACGGAGAGGTCAAATGAATTTTAAAAAACAACTCTCTCGAACCATATGTGTTACAGATGTGGAGTAGACTTATGGAATAATTTAGATGGCTGTATTAACTTAGAGCATTTCAAAAAACAATAAAAAAAATCAGAAGTGACTGTATTTCTGTTTGAGGGGTTAGTATATGGAACAATCTGAGTGATGATTTTTAAAAGTTTAACACTGTAGAAGCCTTTAAAAAAAAGAGTATAAAGCGTTTTGAAAGATATAGAGCTCTGGAATGAATTAATTATGCATTAAATTTAGTTGGTTTTAATTTATATTTTGTCCCTTATATTTACAGTAAGTCTTGAAATAGTAAATACAAACTTGCTGTTCATACTCTGCCTTTTTTTCTTGGAATTCTGTCATTGTTTAACAGGGTTTGGTGTTAGAAGTAGTTTTACTTCAGCCTGAACCCTTTCAGTCATGATCCATGGGGTTGTTTTGTTTTGTAGAGCTGCAAAATGACTGAATAAAACTACTACTACTATTATTATATGGACAGGCCTCATGTGAAGCTCAGAACCTCCAGAATTCCTTCCCTGAGCTGCAGAGGCTGCACTAGTGCACTAACACTAGCTCGGTTCTGGGGTTTAGGGAGTGACCATTCAGATCAGAGAGAAGCATTTTAGGTTTGAACACACTGGATTTCAGCGCTGACACTGGGAGCCTAAATGAGACTTATAACTTGGCCCTGATGTCCAATGTTTTTGTAGATAAAAATAAATCTGCATTACAAATGTTATCAGTAAAACAGTTTGATTTGAACATGTTTACCTCATGTCTGGGGACAAAAAATGTTAGTAGTAAATATACAGTTCTAAAGCTAGTGAAACCTCAATAATAATTCAGATACAGTGTTATCATTTTATAGTTTACATTTTGTAAAGGGAGTCCTTTAGGCTGTATAATTTTACACTTTCCACCCCAACTAGTCACATGTTTTTGATTACTGTGGTCCCCAGACTGGGGGCCTCAGGCTCTGCACTACGTGAAATCAACTTTATTCTAATATAAATAATTTTATGTACTACTTACTTTACGAATCTGTAAACATAAAACTGACTTTACATGAGTTAATACTTTTGACATGTGACTCTGTGAGGAAAACCATGCATGTTTTAATCCAGTGTCTGTTATTATTAGGATTCTCACTAGGGCTGTGCAAAAATATTGAAATATCGATATATTGTATCATTTAATTTAATCATACAGAATTGATATTGTGGTCTGCTGTGTCGATATATCGTCAAGAGTATAGTTTATTTTAGGTATATTTTACTCAATTATTTTGTGTAAGAGCTACATTTGTGTTGACAATTTCACTGTTTTGAGTAAAATGGGGCATTTTTCATCTCAACTTTACACAGACTTAGTGGATTTACTATCACAGTCATGATTTTGTTTTTCATTGAACTGTATCGAATCAATTTGAAATATATCGAATCCTATTGAATCCAAAGTGCACCGTTGTTGAAAAGCGTATCGTATCGTGGCCTACGTATTGAGGTATGTATCATATCGACAACTTCTTAATGATTCCAAACCCTAGTGCCCACTACATTCTTCTGCCCAGTCGGGGGCACATCACTACAGACTTTAGGAACAGCTGCACTATAGCACTAAATGAAGTGATTTAAAGAATGAGACATGTACATTTCTAATGCTCTTTTGTGCTTTGTGTTTTTAGGGAAACCTGACCGTCACACCTCAACCCTGCAGAGATTCATGTGACTGGCTCACATGGCGCAGCCTCCTGGGTGTTACCTTTAGACATCAGTTGAATGGTGTATCTCTGTCTGTTTTTAGCTCTTCTGCCCACGACTCGGCAGATTCTCTTTTTTTAGTTTTGTTTTTTGTTTTTCCCTCCCTTCCCTTCGTCAAAGCTTGAACTGTTCCAGGACTGCCACAACCAGGTTCTAAGCCATCTGCCCCCACCTCAGACCCCCAAAAACTCACTTAGTCTCTGCACTGTCGACGAATACAATGCAAAAAGACCCTATTGGAGAACAGCATTACTTTAGTTGCTTTTTTGTTTTTGTCAAAGAATCAGCAGTGGGTTTTCAAAGGGAGAGCTGGGTGGAAATTGCAAAATGGGGGAAATGGTATAGAAGTGATTTAAATTCTCACGTAAACAAGAATATATCCAAAACTTGACCCGTTTTGGAATAGGGGGAATACACCGAGCGCTGCTTTGTTTGCGGAGGCGTGAGAGCGGACATTTTAGCCACCGCCATCTTTGTTTTTCCAGTTCAGGGACGTCATCTCTCACCATCGGACCGCGCACACCTCAATGGAGAATTGACATTGTCCATATTTTGTCATGATCTGTTCCATATTGTTTTGTTCATCTTTAAATGTTCTGATTTCATACGTATGTTGAAGCCATATGAGCAAGTGAGTAGTGTTGTCATGATACTAAAATGTCAAACCCGATTTCGATACTCAATACCGATTCCGATACCAGGATGTAAACACAAAACACTCTTTAATTAGAGAATAGAATGTGATTTTCAACATTAAAGAGGGGGTATTATGCAAAATCTCCAATGTTATAACATTCTCTCATAAAAAAAAACATGCCTGAAGAGTTTTAAATGTCATCCGCGCATGTTTGAGTAATCTAGCAATCTTGAATTCGAATTTTGAATCCTCCTTACAGTTAGAAGTATGATTCTGCCCACACTCCCAAATGACAATTCTCTATAAATATACAAAAACTGTACACAGCAACGTGACAAACCTGACATGATATGCAGTAGTTTCATTTTAGATTGACTGTGTTGTGATAGCGCTCTGAAGGGGGACTGACTTAGCATGGGGAGTAAAGGGAGGGGAGACTCGGAGCAAAGCAAGAGCAACTTCTAAAACATGTTAATATGTTGTGTTTGGCGAATAGAAGTCAAATACCCCCTCTTTAAACACTAGTACCGTATTTTTTGGAGTATAAGTCGCACCAGCCAAAAAATGTGTAATGAAGAAGAAAAAAAACATATATAAGTCGCACTTTTTTAAAAGAAATTTATCTTACAAATTCAGAGACCAGGAACCAACATTTCCTGTTGAAAGTCAAGTTCTAGTAATAACAATAGAAGAGAGAACAACAGACTGTTAACGTCACATATGAACAGTTCTTCAGATAAACTATAACATAAACAACAGAACAAGTTTACCAAACTCTCCATCTCACTCCAAATCACTAAATCCATTCAGTTCTTCATCCTCGGTGTCACTTCTGAACAACTCCGTGACCTCCGGAGGTAAACAGAGCGCCGCCGCTTCCTCTTCTGTGTAGCTGTCTTCAGACTCAGCATCAGTTCCAGTTAGAATTATTCGGGTCTTTCTGAATCCCGACAGGATGGTTTCGGTGTCACTGAAGTCCAGGCTTTGTCCATCCATCCAGTGACTTCCAGGAAAGTTTCATGGTGCATCCTCCCAGTTGCCGTGAAGCTGTGTTCTCCATCCCCGCTTTCTGCCAGTCCCTCATACGTTTCTCGCTCACTCCAAACTTTCTTTCTGCTGCTCGATTACTGTTTTTGGCTGAATATTTCACTGTTTGCAGCAGGACAGTTTCTCTCTCACTCTAAACTTTCGGTAACACTTTATAATAACTACACCATATTTAGCCTTAATAAAGCATGAATAAAGACTTAATTAATAATGATTCATGCTTAGTAAATGTTTAATAAAGGATAATTTGTCTTCACTTTAGAAAAGCTCTCAGAAAGACTTAACTAACTTATAACAGCTGCCTGAATTATCATTGCATTATTAGTAAATCATTGTCTCATAGTTTACTAATCATTAATAAATGCTCAAATGGTTAGTTCATGAGTAATTAAGTATGAAAGAAATATGAATAACTATTTACAGCACAAGCAAATTAAGTGCAAGTGCTAATTAAGGTAGTAATTAAGTAGTTACTAAGCGTGAATCATTATTAATGAAGTCTGTGTTCATTATTAATTAAGCTTTTGTTCATGCTTTATTAAGGCTAAATAAGGTGTAGTTAATATAAAGTGTTACCAAACTTTCTTACTGTTCCTTGATTACCAGTTTCAGCTGCAGATTTCACTAAATCCAGCAGGGCACCGGCTTTTTTCTGCAGTAGGCATATGCAGTAGAGTGAAGTGACAGTGGTACAGGATTAAAGGGATAGTTCGGGTTTTTTGACATGAATCTGTATGTCATCCCCGTGAGCAGTGTTGTGCATCCACACTGACTTACCCCCGACAGCATCCGGTGAGCCGAGATACTGGCCGTTTTCGGTGCTGACGAAAGTAGTCCGGCAAGTTGACTGGGGACAGTAAAATAAAGCGTTTTTCTTCTCAAAACAATCTGTGTTCAAAAGAGTGATACATTTGCATCACAAAACCATCGTCCTCCAAAAAGTCAGACCTCATAATCGCTTGGCACTATTTTCTCTCTCCGTTCGTATCACTGCGCCCTGTCGCCATGTGACAGCCGCGCCTGGTTCACAGCCTGGATAATCAAGAGTCCGCACCATTTTTTCGATATATTCTTATGTATCTTATACAAACTTATATACTTATCGCTCTAACTCTCACGTTAGCTCTCTCACATCACGGCGGTCTGCGCATGTAAACACTGCCAAACAGCTGACACCTGGCGGCAGCGCGCAGTGATACGAACCGAGAGAAAATAGTGCCAAGTGATTATGAGGTCTGACTTTTTTGGAGGACGATGGTTTTGTGATGCAAATGTATCACTCTTTTGAACACAGATTGTTTTGAGAAGAAAAACACTTTATTTTACTGTCCCCAGCCAACTTGCCGGACTACTTTCGTCAGCACCGAAAACGGCCAGTATCTCGGCTCACCGGACGCTGTCGGGGGTAAGTCAGTGTGGATGCACGACACTGCTCACGGGGATGACATACAGATTCATGTCAAAAAAACCCAAACTATCCCTTTAATAGCAATAGGAGCAGCAGATACTTGCACACAAACCTAGAGCGCCCTCTCATGGCTTCAGTGTGAAAATTTTAATATACACGTCGCAGGAAACACCCAAACTATGAAAAAAAAGTGCGACTTATAGTTCGAAAAATACGCTACTCATTTCTGTCCTGTGAATGTGACTTTTTAAGTATCGATACCCGCTCAAATGAGTGACGATACTAGTTTCGGTATCGATTAGTATCCGATTTCTGATGCTTTTGACAACCCTACACGTGATACAATTTTGTCAATAAGAGCCACTACTTTTTTTTTTTTTTTTTGGTTTTCTAGTACGACTGTGCACTGAACAATGTGAAATTTGCTCTCTCTATTTTTCTGCTGTAAAAAGAACTGTTCACAGCCTACAAAATGTGCAGAAGTGTTTATAAATGTGTACCTGCAGGCGACTGTGTATAGACCAATTCTCTCTGTAAATTAGGATTGCGTATTTGAATGCCATTTTTGTCATCTCCTCGCTCACTGTGCAAAAACTTTCACTTTTGGATCTCAAATTTTTGTTATTTGTTTTGAAAGTGTTTGAACATTTTGAATATTCGCCTTTTGGGGGTTTTGTGCATTAGTTTGCTCATGTGGCTTCATCATAATTTCGTTTCTCGGTTTGTAGACAGTTTAAAGGTTTGGTTCACGAATCACACACAAACTAGCCACATCCTCGTAACACTAAACAGCAGTGAGTGAAACTGGAAATAGAAGTGAATTCCTTGTCCTGTTAAAGCAACATTATGGAACTTCTGCCCCAAATTGCACAGCGTTTCTCGTTATTTTTAATATTTCAGCTGATTTGTTTGTTCAGCCCTTAAAAGTGAACTGCGAAACGTTTCTTGTTTAGGGTCTGGAATCTATTTGTTGCCATACAAATGTTATTGCTTTGTCTAGAATGTTCCACAGTATCTTATCTGTCACTACGCTACATTACAGTTCAGATCTGTGGAGAGGCACCCCTACTCACAGAAAGATGGACTGTATTTTTGAGCAATAGAAACAGGCGTGATGAATAAATGCTAGATGGTTATATTTAATGTCATAGCATGGAACATTCCAGACAAAGTAATAACATCTCTAGGGAGTAGTGTGTAAGTGGACCCTCCATCAGAAAAGTTGTGCAGTGCAGCTTTAAATTAACATCACTGTTGAGTGAAATAAAGAGGAAAAATGACTTGATGGCTTGTTTCTGCTCAGTGGTACTGTGATGTCAGTCAGCGTCATGTTCGTTCAAATGTCATTTGTTTTGTAAAACATTTAGTGTCCTTATGGACACAAAATGGACTCAGTAATGTGGACTGTTGCTCATTGATATTAAACTGAAATTGGAAATGTTGAAGTTGGAAGCAATGTCATGATTATTTTAGTTTTCTGTACACTGAAATTCTGTTTTCCTTTTAGGAGTTTACCTGTGACACACATGTTTGATCAGTATATTTGAAAATATAAACAGTTGAGAAATATCACATGTCAAGTCAAAACTGATATTCTTAATCGATCCCATGAAGTTTGTTACACAAAAACAAGCTACTGTTGTGAAAAGAGGCTGGCTGAGCTCTACAGTACCACTCCAGAGGAAGAGGCACCAAAAAGAATCAGGCGAAGGCCTGTATACAACTACATCTCCTTTAGAATAATGATGAAAGATAAACATTGTCCACACAAGAGCTGCCTTCAACCACTGTGCTTGTTCTAAATTATCTGCACTTTTTTGCATTTCAAAATTCACCTGCCGTGTTTAAAAGCTGTGCAACTGTTTTGATGAAGTGTGCGTCAAATGCATTTCTCCATGGAGATATATAGTCCTTGTTTTGTCTGAAATGTTCCACAGTATGGTATTAAACCTTTCTATCTTCATGGAGACCAAAAAAAGAGTTACAAGTCAGATCTGTGGAGAGGCGACCCCACTCACAGTCAGAATGTTGTTTTTTGGTATTTTTGATCTATAAAACCAGCTGTAATTGAATAAATGTAAAGTAGAACTGTTTAATGTCACACTGTGGAACATTCCAGGCAGAGAAATGAGGTATTCTTAGAAACGAGCAGGTGATGGACCCTCCACAAGAAAAGTTACACAATGCACCTTTAAGAATGTGTTTCAGTGTGAGCCGATTTGATTTTTACGTCATTACGAAACTATAATACAACCAAATTTCTGTAAAACGATGGGGCAAATACAAAATCTGGCAAATATTAAAAATCAATCCGTATTTTAACACGTCCAGGAGTTATAATATTCGAGAGCACACTTACGGATTTACAGCTGAACTAAAAAGAATCCAATGCAGCTTTGTAGAAGTCCAAACTGCACCGTTAGCTTTTTTTTTACACGAAATAAACCCGCATATTGAAATTTCGATTTGACTTTGACAAATCTTACATCACAACTCCACATTTTCCATACTCGCCTTTGGATTTCATCATAAATTCCATCTTTTCTCTCTCTATTTTCCCTCTTTCCTCTCTCCTCTCCAGGCTGACAAACTGACTTGTTTTTTGCATCTATGGTTGGCGTGTTTCGGTGTTCGTAACATGTGAGGGTTTCCTATAGGCAGCTGCGGTGTTGTCATTCTATTAGTCCCTGTTTTTTTAGTATACCAGCAGACTGCACACACACACACACACACACACACACACACAACATATACATATACATATATAGTTTTTTGAATCCAGAACAATGGTTGTGAAAAGTGCTTCTGTTGTATCAGAGAGTAATGTTATCTGAGTAGTTAAAGCAGAGTCCATATATTCTAAAAACGTGTATGAAAAAGCCAGAGGTGTTTGCTGTCAGCATATTGGAACGTGCGTCTTCGTTTCATGGTAATATATATTTATTATTGGCCGGCGGTTGTCTCTATTTGGTGCCTATAGTTGAACATTCTGTGAAGATTCGGAGGAGACATTCGCCTGTTGGTTCGTTCCCAACCCGCCTTCTCTCACACTGACCCCCGCCCCCCTCAGAGCACCGGTGCGGACGGGTGCTCGGGTGTTTACAATGTTTTCCTGATTTCCTTTAAGAGTGCGAGCGATGCAGATCTCTCCTCCTCTTCCTCCTCCTACCCCTGTTCCTCCTCCTCCTCCTCCTCCTTCACCTCTCCCTCGCCCCCTTCAGGAGTTTGTGCAAAGTGTACATTATCATGGTTCTTTTTATACAATACTCTGTAACTTGCCTTTGTAAATTTGGGCTGGAAAAATAAATCTTTTTATGAGAATGTCTGGTCCTGAGTGTCTTTGTGTGGGCTCATATTGATAAAGACATACATGCACATACACATACGCATGCATACATACATACATACATACATACGCATAGCATACATTCACATATATGTACATACATATATACATGCATACATACATCATACATACATCATACATACATCATACATACATACATACATATATATATATATATATGTGTGTGTGTGTGTGTGTATATATATGTGTATATATGTGTGTGTGTATATATACATATATACACACACACACATATATATATACACACACACATATATATATATATATATATATATATATACACATATATATATATACACATATATATACACACACACACACACATGAAATCACAAGGTGGAACAGAGTGTTTTCAGTTTGAGAGATGAACTAAATCTGCTGGTTTGTGAGTTAAACGTGTAAATGAAACAAAACATACATGCACACATCAATAAGGCAACACAAATAATTAATTAAAATGCTAGTTAGTGATGCCCAGTTATCTAGATATTCTATGTTTCATTTATAAAAAAAAAAAAATAGATGTCAGTTTATGTAGCTATAACGGTATCACCACTAATCATGCCAATGAACAGTGACTAAAACAATTAATGGGAAAAATGTTAATGGCAAGGTATTTGTAAAATATACAATATATATTTAGAGAAGAAAAAAAAAAAAAGCTTTTATAAGCACTTTATAAATACCAAACAAAGATGTAATTATCCACTTAGGAGCCTGTCCTTTTAACGACTAGTTAGTTAATAACAGCCTGTGTGGTCCCTGCACTTAAAACCACAGTCTGTAATTACACTGTTGTATTCTCACATATCACCACTAGAGGCGACGTGAGGCTGAACAAAGGTCAGGGGAGGGGAGGGGTCAGGTGAGGGGAGGTGAGAGGGGCTAGAAGAGGTGAGGGGGAAACAGTTTTCACAGCTGCCATCTTCTGGTGACAAAAAAATCGAATAAAGTTGCAGATGGAAGATTTAAGTG